CCAGGCCGAGGCTGGGAAGGGGCCTCAGAAGAAGAGCCAGGACAGGTGCCTGGACAAGCAGGGCAAGCCAGGGGCCAGGAGCATGACTCCCCCTTCCAGGAGAGGCCCGGCCCTGTCTTCAGCCAGGCTGCCTGGCGAGAAGGGTTGCATCCGCAGCCCCAGCCTGCGCAGGAACGCTAACTCTACCAGCAGGCTGCAGGAACTCTGCAGCCACTCATTCTCCGGGTCCCTGAGGAGGCCCGTGTATGAGAAAGCTGAAGCCAAGAAGCGACCCAAAAGCCTGGAATTTGCCATTCCTTCCGGAGAGAGAGGACCTGTCAACCCAGAAACTCTCCGCTCTCTAACGAACATAAGAATTGTGACTCCAGGCATAGTGGCCGTTCTAGGGGCTGAGGAGGCTCCTGGGGTGCCAGAGAAAGGTTCCAGGGGTCTAGAAGATTCCATGCGCCAAGAGCAGGATACATTAAGGAGCGCCCTCACCAGTGTGTCCTTGACTGGAGGGGAGCATGAAGCCTCCACCGCACCCTTGGAGGAAAATGGAATTGGGAGTTCAGAGGCCCCTGGGATGTTCTGTGAACCTTCAAATCCACAATCGGCTCCATCTTTGGGGAAGAAAGGGCTCCAGAATCCCGGACACGCCTCGTCTTTAGACACGGTGGTGTGTAAAGGTAGTTCTTCCCAATATCCTTTGGTCTTAGTGTGTTTTTATCAGTGGGTGCCCTGGAAGTGCAGGAGTCAGTGCTCCACGGCCGTCCAAAAGGCCGACGGCTCCGGCCATCAGTGGCTCCGTGGGAGACAAGACTTGGCATTCCATCTCATAAAGATTATAGCCTAGGAAACCCACATGGGGCAGTTCTCCGCGTGAGTCGGATCGACTCCAAGGCACACCTGAAATGACCTGCACGATTGCAGGGAGAGGCTGCCTATTCCTATCACTGGGATCCTAGGAGCAGAGGGCCTCCCCTCCTTTGGCATCTGGTGCAGTCTGTGTGTATGTCTTTGGAAACAATCACATCAAATTCCAGTGGGTCCTTCTTTAGAATTCCAAGGGCTTCAAGGCCCCCTGATACGACGGTGAGAGAGACTGGGCAAAAAGAACTCCTCCTCCTCAGACAGGCGCCCTAGGGTGCAGTGGTTAAAGCGCTTGGCTAATAAGCAAAAAGCCACCAACTACTTCACAGGATGAGGCAGCCGGGGAAACCCCATTAACCCTCTGACTGCCATCCTGTCAATTCTGACTCCACAGAGCAGAGTAGAACTGCCCCTGATGAGTTTTTGAGACATTAACTCTTTACAGGAGGAGAGAGCCCTGTTTTTCTCCTGCGGAGCAGCTGGTGGTTTCGAACGGCTGACCTTGTGGTGGCAGCCCAACTTGTCACTGCGATGCCACCATAACCCTAGGTCCCACTACCACTCTTAGGTCCCTTTTATTGATGGAGCAATCATTGGGGTTAGGTCTGCTTGTGAATGCCGAGAACGTCCAAGTATGATGGCCAACACAAGACAGAGGCTTCCTTCACTGTGTGATTCACAGTGTGGTCCGGACAGAGACAGCATTCCGTGCATCAGGGAGCTAAGCTCCTGCGGGGTGCCCAGTCCCCCGAGTCTGCTCTCAAGCTCATGATCTCAGGTAGTGGCACACTTATTCCAGAGACAAGGGAGAATGAGTGTGGACAAAGGGGTCACTTTGGGGACCTTCTTAGGGCCACCTCCCTTTCCATCCCTCTGGCCAGAAGATGGTCAGATGATGGCCACACCTGGCTGCCAGAGAGGCGGAGACATCTGGGGAGGCAGGAGGGAGCAATCATGGATTCTGTCAGGAGGGAAGGAGGGGGTGATAGTCATTTGGAGGACACCAGGAAGTGGTTTTACTTAGAGATGCAGTGTGAGTTCCTGGAAATGGAAGGAGAGCGGGAGGAGGAGGCGGCAATTGTGGACCGAGTGTGCTTCTGTCCATTTTGCCTTGTATCTCCTCGCATCTCTGCTGTATGAAGTAGTAATTGAGGTCTTGGTTAGAGCTCTTCATAACTGTTAGGAGTTTACCCCTTACTCTGATGCCCCTTTCTTCCCTTTCATGGACGGTTTCTTCATCTTGGACATGAGCAGTCCATTTGTTTGAATGAAGAATGAACACACACCCAGCGTACCTGTTCTGCTGGAGCTGGGGCTATGGCTGCTCGCCAGGAACCCCCAGTCTAGGTCTGCACAACTTGGGTAGACTTCAGGAGCAAAGCCCAACACGGATTGAAATGTCTTGCTCTTTCATGTCACCTGCTGCATCAGCATATGGCAGAGAACTTGTAACGAGGGCCCACTGGTCATTAAATGCCCAGGCATTCCAGGTCTTGGGAATCCTGGCGTGTTTTCTGCCTCTCTCACTGGGAGTCTGATGGGTGGGAGTGAGGATGTGGTCTGCGTCTTACTGGGCACTGATGTCTCTCAGAGGTAGATGTAACCCTTTGGGTTTGCCGCTCTGGTGATTTTCCCACCGCCTTGTCTTCAGGGAAACCGCAGGAAGGAGACCCAGTCGGTGGTTCCTGTGTGCATGGTTCTAGCAGCTGCTCTGGGGAGCATGGGGCCTCAGGCAACCACTCTCTCAGCTGCCCCCGCGGTCAGGCCCCGCTCCCCAAACAGCAGCAGTTGCTTCGAAGTGTCAGCTCGGAGCCCCCACCCCAGTGTGAGCGGCACAAGCAGCAGCCCTGCCTGCTCTTCTGCGAGGAGCACAGCCAGCCTGTCTGTCTCATCTGCAACCTGAGTCAGGAGCACCGAGGTCACCAGGTGCGCCCCATTGAGGAGGCTGCTCTGGAATACCAGGTAGGTGTTCTCTGCCCCGGGGCCCTTCTCTGCTGGGTACTGGGACCCACCTGGCCTGGCTTCCCTTTCTGAGCACCCCTGGAGGTTGGTACATTAGTCATTGTACATGGTACATTAGTAAGGTGACCAGACGTCCCGATTTTTGGCGTTTTAAAAAAGTCCCGATTTTTGGCAAGAATGCACGACAAGCTAGGGAACAGTCTATTTGGTCCTTATAGACCAAATTTTTAATCAAGACCTGCCCCCCGCCCCGCCCCCGTCAATGGTGTCCCACTTTAAATCTGGTCACCTTAATTAGTCATTCATTGTACAATGTACATTAGTTAGTACATTGTGTTGTGGGCTGCCGAGGGCAGAAACACAATACAAGCCAGTGCGGCACAGATGGAATTGACTGGCTCATGTAGGTCAGAGGCCCAAGGGACAACTGACTTCAGGTCTGGTTGAACCCAGGAGCTCATAGGAAGTCAGTGGGACTCTCTAGCTCACCATCTCTTGGCTTCGTTTCCCTTAGCAATGGAGTCAGTCATTCTTCCTCTTTCCCAAGTACCTCTCTTTCTCTGCCTCAACTGCAGGGCCATCAACTTTGCTCCCAGGGGCAGGCATTTTCCCTCAAGACTCAGCACCAGCAACAGAGGTTGGGATCCACGGAGGTTTTTCATTGACTGCTCTTTTTTTCCCCAGGAACAAATTCACTGGCAGCTGGAGCATCTGAAGGAATTGAGAAAGTCTGGGCAAGAGCAGAAATGCCAGGGGGATAAGGAGACAGCCAACTTCTTGGTAAGACCAGGCAGGGCCTGAGGCCAGCCTTTGCCCAGGCTCACCCCTGCAGAATAAGAGAGGGCCGGAGCGTGAGAGCCTAGGGGTGTCTCCAACTTTCCAATCTGGTTCTTGAGGAAGCAGAGAGGATCACCTGCACTGATGATCACCAGCTCTGGAGAGCGGGGAGGAGACTGACCTTCAAGGATAAGCTTGACCCTGAAGGACGGGAGGGATCATCTCCAAGGACCCCATCTCACTTTCTCATATTCACCCCCCAGAATGCTTGCAGAAAGCACACTACCCTGGGTCCTGCTGTGGAATGGCATCGGAGAGGGAGAGTAGAGATGTTTTAACTTGAAGCACCTCTGTATTGTTTCTGTGATAGTTATTGTTGTCTTAAATGAAAAAAACACCTACCACAACATTTATTTTAATAATTCAAATGTTTAAAATAGATATTTGCTCTCAAAGAGGATTCTGCCATGCATAAACTACGGTCAGTACAACGTAACGGCTTTCCTCGGCTGCGCTGGTGTCTGGCTTCTTGGCCACACGCCTGGCCCTTTTGTGCTGTATGTTGCTTCGCTTTTCCCTGGAAGGAGCGGTGCCCGTCCCTAGAACCACCCAGAGCCTAGGCTTGTCCAAGACATTTTGTTGATTGGACTCTTGTCTCCCTCTCTCTGAGTTCTGGCAAGCCAAATCAAGTCTGTGCCCACTACACTTCAACAGGTAATGGGCAAAGGCAGCAAAGGGTAGAATGAGGTAGGAATCATCTCTCTGAGCCAGGCATGACTTTAGGAAGCTCCTGAATTCTAGTAAAAGAAACCTGGCTGACTGGGAACTTACTAGTGGGGCACAGATCAGGGATGCCCCAGGAGAGTGAGGCCGGAGCTGGACCGCTCTAGGAAACCCAGGTCTGCCTTTCAGGAAGGCACTCAGAGCAACGAAAGAAGATGCTGTTTGTTTTTAAGACTTTCTAAGCTCTTAAAGGGTCTGAATGTGGAAGGAATAGGTTCCCTGGCCCAGCCCACCTGTCTGAAGAACCTCTTTAGTAAGAAAAAGGGTGGTGGTGGCAGAGCTATTGATGTGCCAGTGTGCCAAGGTGGTGGAGGCCAAGTTCACCTACACAAGGATAGTCTATTCCCAACCAGAAGCTCTTTATACAAGACCTTCCCCAGAGGTGTCCACCCTCTGCAGGTGTGGAGAAGTCTCTTTCTTCCGGGAATGCCTAGGTGGGTAGTCACAACCTTATGCCTCTGCCGGCCTCCCCAATGGCTTTCAGGGAAAAATTGAGGTGACACCAGGTTTCTGACCACTTTACAAGAGCCAGTCCCATCAGCCTCAGACTGTTCAGGGAGGTTCTTTATGGCTTTGCCTCACTCTGGAATTCAGGGCTCTACAAGGCTGAAGCAGCCTGTTATGATCCACATCCAGGAGGTAGACTTGTGGGGGGGCCCTTGGATATACACCTTTACTCCATGGCACAGCCCGCCCCATCTCTGTCTGCCCCCCAGAAACAGATGGAGGACCAGAAGCAGAAGGTCCGGTGCCAGATGCAGCAGCTGTGCCACTTCCTGGAGAAGCAGGAGCAGCTGTTTGTGGCCCGGCTGGAGGAGCTGGGGCAGACCATTGGCCAGGCCGGGGAGAACTATGACAGCCGGGTGTCCCGCGACATCGCACTTCTGGACGAGCTCATCGGCGAGCTGGAGGCCAAGCAGTGCCAGCCGGCATGGGGTCTTATGCAGGTGCGTGTGGCCCTGGCACCCTGGCACCCCTTGTCAAGATGACCCAGGGCCTAGCATGGCTGTACAGCTCCTCTCAAGCTAGAGAATGTGCCGGGGGGTGGGGTGGGGTGGTGGGGCTGAAGGCAAGGCGTGTGGGCCCTTGATCTCGGTGACACACAACGTTTCTTGTGTTCAGACCCTTCAGTGACTTGGAGGTACTTGGGTAACCTAGCATTCTGGGGACTTCAGGCATCTTCAGAAGAGATTAGCAGGCTGGGGGGGCAGGGGTGGTGGTAGGTAGGGGTGTGGAGTGGGGGAGGTTTTATGGCAGAACCCAGTCAGGCTTCAGTTTAGCTGACTCCAGGGGGGAAGCCCTGGGAGCAGCCTGCTGTCCAGGAGGAGAGGCTGGGGGATCACCACAGCTCCCAGGAGCCTAGTAACAGAGAGCTTTCCTCTTTTCTCTCCTAGGACATTGGAATCACCCTGCAGAGGTACAGAGATGCCCTGAGAGGTGCCCTGGGTGCCCTGTACTTGGGGGGATGATCCTAGGAGGGAGAAACTCCTACAGCCCGCACCTTAAGGCTGTTGAGGGTTATGTGGGAGACTGGGAGACTGGGCAGCGGGCAGCTGGAAGGCGAAGACTGGAATGAGAAAGCCAGGCTGTAGGCTGGGGACGGGGCAGAGCTTCCTGCGCTTTGGCCTCAGGGAAGGATGCATGGTCCAGCGATGTCTACTGCTTTTGGGAAGTTGGTGGAGGGGATGCAGCCTCAGCCCAGCAGACAGGGGAGGGAGGGAGGGTGGAGAGAGCAGGCCTCCGAAGAAGAGTTCTCTGACATGGCTGAAATTACCTGAGAGCTTTGCAAACCCCCATGGCAAGGCCATACCAAACTGATGAAAACCGAGCCTTTGTGGGTGGGACCCAGATGGCAAGGTGAACACCCTCCCAGGTGACCCCAGCCTATGGCCAGAGCTGAGGATCGGTGGGTAGAGCTCAGTGTCCACAGAGACCTCTGAGCTCACAGCTCACGGAGACTGCCCCCATGGTCTACGTTTCCCCGGCCAACAGTCTCTTATCTCCAGGGCCAAGACGGCGACTGTCCCGGAGCCATGGGCCACCCCTTCAGAAGTGAAAGAGAAACTCCACCTCTTCTACCATAAGTCTGAGTTTGTGGAGAAGAGCATGAAGCGCTTCTCAGGTAAGTGGGCTGGAGGCAGATGGAAGACCCCCTCAGCCCAGAGACCCCTCTCTCTCCTTGTCCCTCTCCCCACGGCCTCTCCCTGACCTCCCTAGATGGGGATCTAACTCAGGTTTCTGTCTTCTCCTTTCTCCCTTTAGAAAACCTGCGTTCAGAAATGGAAACGTTCCTTGTTGAGCACAGTGACCAGGTATTAGTGCAACAGTCCCCATGCGGTTGATGACTGGGCCTGATGGGACAGAGAGACACCTGGGGCAGAGCAGGAGTAAGCCAGGAAAGGCCCTGGCTGGCTCTGTGGATAATCCCTTGTGCCCCAGTCATCTTGCCCGGTTTGTTCATCTGACTAGCAGAGTTCGAAGAGAGCTGAGTTACCTGGGCAGTGGTGCCCTGAGTGTGTGAACGGGGTATTATTGTCTTTCCTGGTTCTGGAGACCAGGCCAGATTTATTAATGTTAGGGGATAGAGTTGCATTTTGATTTATAGGGATGCCAGGTGACAGCGAAGAATTTCCCCCAGAAACGCTTGTTTGGGGGCTGTGGTGGCCCTACTGGTGGAGTGGTTATGCATTGGGCTGCCATCTGCAAGGTCTGCAGTTCGAAACCACCATGTGCTCCAAGGGAGAAAGACAGCGTTCTATTCCCATAAAGAGTTAGTTTCTGAAATCCACAGGAGCAGTTCTACTCTGTCCCACAGGGTCGTCACGAGTCAGAATTGACTTGGTGGCGGTGCATCGTCTTCTGGGAGCAGATTGCCCGGTCTTTCTTCTGTGGAGCTGCAGGGCAGATCCGAACCACCAACCTTTGGTGGAACAGCCAAATGCTTAACTGTTATCGACCAGGGCTCCATCGGGTGGCTTTAGTGTCTGAATGAGAATGTTCAAGATGTTTCCTCCTTTCCTTTTTTCTCTGTAGCTCCAGGACTAATAGCTACTCGGGCACATGAAGGTAAGTGCCCAGGTCCTGGCACGTGGCCTTAGACTCCTGGGTCCTTATGTCCTCCCCTATTGGGTTCCAGAAGAGCGGTCACATTCATGTGTCCTGGAAGTGGGGAGAACCCTTGGGGATGCTTCCCATGGACCACGAGCTGGGTATCTTGACTCTGCAGTTGATGTGATTCCGGAGGATACAGAAACGTCCCATCCTAACCGCATCTTCTCTGATGAGCTGAAGAGCATGAGACTTGAGAAAACGATGATCATTTGCCTGAGGGCCCAGGAAGGTTCTGTAGCTGCCTTCTGGCCCTGGGCTCTCTGACCTTCTTCTCTGCCGTCAGTACTGGGAAGTGGACGTGGGAGACGAGACATGCTGGATCCTGGGAGTATGCCAAGTGTCTATGAGCTAGAAGGGGATTGTGGCTCTGTCACCTGAGAATGGCTACTGGGTGTTGATGATGATAATGCAAAAAAGTATCAGGTCTCCACCTTACCCCTACCCGCCGGTGGATGATGGAGCCATCACAGTGGGTGCGTATCTCTCTGGACTATGAGGCTGGAGACATTTCTTTTCACAATGTGACAGCGAAATCCTACCTCTACACGTTCACACTTCTCACCCTCGGCACCCCTTCAACCTGCCTTCAGCCCAGGTTCCAATGACTGAGGGAAGAACATGGAGCCTTGACCACCTGTCCAGTGTGTGTTCAGGGACAAAACGAAATGCCAAACACGTTGCAGCTCTCTTCCTGCACCCAGCCCTGCATCTCACACTCATATTCGCAGCCATCACTAGTGGACATCTTCTGGGTGCTAAGTGCTGCAGGTATAATAAATATGAAAACAGTCCCCGTGCCCACAGGATAGTAGCGGAGGTAACCTAGATGCACAAACATTGGTAAACCATAAGCACTAATGACGTATAGCAGATTTCACAGGAGGAAGTGCGTGGTTGTTGCTTAATGAACACTTGTATGACTTAGCACCTTCTGCTGCTCCTAAAGCTCACCGTCTCCCTCTGAATGTGTCACCTTATTGTAAACTTGCCTGTCAAGAGGAAGAGGAAGCTGGGAGGACACTGAAGCAGACTGGGTTGTTTACAAAAGTATTTTATACCTGGATTAATCAGCTCAGGCTCGTATGAGCACTGACCTGGCCTTTTCAATAAATCCACTAGGAAATTTGGCCATAATTACATTAACTGTCATTTAGATGACAGCTGTGGGATCCCATTTCCCTACTACTGAATATCTGAGATGGGGGCTGCTATGATTGACAAAACATTGACTCATATTCCCAGTGTTGATTATTCTGCTCAGGTCTGTATCAAAGGAACTCTGGTGATGGGGTGGGGTTAAGCATTAGGCTATTAAATGAAAAATTGGCCATTCAAATCCACCAGCCCCTCTGAGGGAGACAGTGTGCTTCCATAAAGACTGACAGTATTGGCAACCCCATGGAGCAGTTCTGCTCTGTCTTACAGGGCTACTGTGTGTTGGAATCAGCTTGATGGCGGTGGGTTTTGGTTTTTGAGTTGGTCTGTATTGGAAAATCTGAGGGCCTATGAAATGATGAGTGTTATATTTCATGCCCATCCCCACCCTTACCCCCCCTAATTTAAAAAGTAGGAAAGTAAACAGTAGGAATTGAAACAATTACAAATGTCACAGATGATCCAATGTGTAAGCCCTCACCTAACTCACCCTAAAATGTAAACAAACAAACCCACTGCTATAAGTCGGTTCTCACTCCTAGCAACCGTACACTTTAAGTCTTCCCGAGAGCAGTCAGTCTCACCTTGCTCTCAAGTGGCAATTGGTGGGCTTGAACTGCTGATCTCACAGTTGGTAGCTTAATGGGTGTACCACTAGGGTTTCCTCATTCATCAGTTGATGAACATTTGGCGTTTCCCCACTTTTTGGCAATTATGAACAGTGCTACGAGCATTTATGTACAAGGTTTTATGGAAGCATGTTTTAATTTCTCTTGGCTACCCCATGGAGTAGGATTTGTGGGTCTTATGGTAATTCTATGTTAACTTTTGGAGGCATTTCCAACATGTTTCTCAAGATGGCTACACCATTTTATGCTTTCCCCATCAATGTATGAGGGTGCCAGTCTTGGCACGGTCTCACCAATTTGTGTTCTCTCTCTCCATATCATAGCCAGCTGCGTGAGTGGAACCTTATTGTGGATTTTATTTGGATTTAATGTTTTCTAAATAGGATTTACTTCTTTACTTTGTCTGACTTCCTGCTAATTGAATATTAAGTTATTCACCTTTCCAACATATGGGATTTTTAAAATGAAAAAGGTAACATATTTATTATTTGGAAACAAGAAATTGATAAAAGAGAAAAAATGAAAATATCTTCTAATCCTTCTCCTTAAGAGATATCCACTGCTTGTACATTCTTCCAGTTTAAAACAAAAGCAAACAAGTGATTTATTTTAAAAATTACATCATTTTATACATACTATTTTATATCGTGTTTTATTGATTTTCTCTTTTTTAAGTGGCTGCTTTGGACTCCATTATATGTACATACTATGATTTGTTTAATCAATTAAAAAAAATCAAGCGAAGCTATACTATCACTGAAGCTAGAATTGAACATTTTACAAAGCTTGTATTTCACTTTAAAAAATAAACTATTGTTATCAATTTGCTTTCAGAACATTGACAGTTTGTAATTCTTTCTGTATTTCATCTCTTTAATTAAAAGTGACAGTTATCTTTTTCTTCATGTTATAGGTGTTTTATAGATTTATATATTGTCACTTTACAGTCTTAGGTTAAGATCTGATACAAAGCAGGATGTCATTAAAAAAAACAACAACCCCAAACAAGAAAACTCTACCATTCTATTTAGCCTTTAAGATTTTTATGGCTTTTTAAAAGTTAGGTTGACTTTTTCTTATTCAATGAAATTACTCAACTCAAAGAGGTTTACTTTCCCCTTTAGCCCTATTTTCCACATGTGCTAACATTTTAATAGTCTGGTATGCATATCTTCATACAACCATACACATCTTCAGAGTATTTTCTGTTGCTACAAAATTTTAATTATGTGTTAAGCACATGTGTTAGTCTGGGTTGACTAGAGAAACAAATCCAGAGATACTCCTATGTGTGTATGAGAGAGTTTTACATCCAATAGTATTTGTATATTAAGAAAACATTCCGGCCCAGTCTAGATCAAGTCCATAAGTTTGATATTACCCCATAAATCCTAGTCCATAAATTCTTCTACAGACTTGTGCGGCACATGCAATGATGCTGAGAATAGGAAGATCACAGGCCAGTGGGTGAAAGTCTTGTGGAAGCATCTCAGTGCTAGCATGGTTCTCCGTAAGGCTCCTCCAGCTCAGGGCTCTAGCTGCCATCAGCATAGCTCCACGTGGCTTGTCAACAGAAGATGAAGCAGAGAGAGTGCATGTCCTGCCTCCAGGGAAGAAGATAGGAGTTCCCAGAATCCTCGGAAGGCCAGGTCCACACAAAGGAATCGTTGGCTATGACCTGATTGACAGGCTAGACTCCAATCCTTTGCTCAAATTGACAGATTTTGTACCTGCCACAGCACATAGCTCTGAACTTGCTCAATATTTTGTATCTCTCCAGATCTAGACATTGTACTGACCTATTTCTAATAGCTGTGGAATATTATAGAATGTGGATTCTAGCATAATATTCCAAAGAACCATTTCTCTCCTCATGAACATTGCCCACTACAAGAGAAACTGTTCGTATTCCTTATAGACTAGTGCTTTAATTTCTAGAGACGACATTCCCAGGGCTCGTCTTCCAGCACTAATCAATTTTCAGCTGCTTTCCATAAAGTTTTCACTGGCTACATTTTTTGGAAGTCGATTTGCCAGGTCTTTCTTCCTAGTCTTTAAATTCTATCAAAACTTGTCTACCTTTGGTGATTAGAATATTTGAAATACTAGTGGCGTAACTTTCACCAACACAGCAACACACAAGCCATCATAGTTTGACAAATGGTCAGACAAGTGGTAGATAATTGGGCAACTGACCCCAGCTTTTATATTTTTGTATGCCTGTGAAAGGTAGACAATGATTAAGAAAAACTGGAGAATTGATACATTTTAAATTATAGTGTCGACAAAGAATTTTGAATATACTGTCAACTGCCAGAAGAATGAACGTATCTGTCTTGGAAGAGGTGTACCTGGAGTGCTCCTTAGAAGCCAGAATGATAAGACTTAGTCTCATTTTCTTTGGACATGTTGTCAGGAGGGCCCAGTCTTGGAGAAGGACGTCAGGCCTGATAAAGGAGAGGGTCGGTGGTAAAGAAGAAGCCCTTCAACAAGATGCATTGGCCCAGTGGCTGTAACAAGGAGTTCAAGTGTAACAATGACTTGTTTAGAGGGTGCAGGACCTGGAAGCATTTAGTTCTGTTGTAAATAAGGTGCTATGAGTGCCAATTGAAGCACCGAATAAGATTCCTAGGTAAGAGTATGAAATCAAAGGCTACATGCACTTTAAAAAATTCATTTTATAGGAGGGGAGAGCGAGGAGGGAGTGGAAAAATGAGGAGCTGATACCAAGGGCTCAAGTAGAAAGCAAATGTTTTGAGAATGATGATGGCAACATAGGTACAAATGTGCTTGACACAATGGATGGATGTATGGATTGTGATAGGAGTTGTATGAGCCCCCAATAAAATGATTAAAAAAATCATT